ATCAGCTTTGGAGATGCGCATATGCATTCGGGGGCAAGCTGCTATACAAGGCCAGATCATCAATGTCGAAAAGGACGCATCGCACAAAGGCACCTCGCAAGATGGACAAAAAGCTCCACACGATCAAGGGTAGCCGGCGCAGCGTGACCGTCCCTTTGACGAATTGGTCCAGGGAAAGCTTGGCTAACATAGAAGCTGTAGTTCCGATGTACGGGGAGGGGAGTGGGAAGGGATTGGGAGGGGAGTGGAGTACCCGTATCATCAATCCACATCCCTCAACTGCGACCCACGTAATGAGGTTCCATGTTAGTGGCTTTGAGGGGTGGTGAGAAGTGAATGCTTCATTTCTTACATCCGACTCCCAGGTACTCACATCATCATGGTCGGATGGCACAGCTGGACCGCTAGCGCTCACCGTGCCTGAGGGGAAACTGTCGGCAGAAGCCATCAGGCAGTTCAACGAGAAGCACGCTGGCAGAGCTATGGCGCTTACCTCGGGCACATCCAGTCATTTCATGACGGGAGATACCCTGGTACAAGTGTACGAACAGTTATACTCACCGGCACTGGCGTTGCAGCGAGCCAAGACCCTGAAGCTAAATTTACTGCGTGCACCCTCCCATTGGCTAACATGGAAGCTCCCATGACCCCCCCCACCCCATGGAAGACTTATCTTCATGTAACTAACAATGCAAAGGGAGCTTGAATGTTAGCCTCACGGAAGGTATTTTCACTAGGCATCCCAGCTTGCCACTGCCTAACTCAAACGGATTGTTTCTTTGGGAGAGTTGTGGAGCACAATGGGGTTCCATGTTAGTGGCCTAGGAATCTGGCGGCGCTTAAAATTTGTTTAAAAGCAAAAGGGACACACAGTGCAAGGTATGGGCTTACTGTTGCTGACCCGGAAGCAACAGCTGCTTTCCTTTGCGACGCTTGGTCGGGCACCTTCTCGAAGTCCATAGGCGAGCACATCAGGCGTGACGCGTTTTACGAGACGCACAGAGTCCACCCGCCCGGGAAGAAACCGGGGGGGTGGAGCTCCCACGGCCAACCCGTAGACCAGCTCCACAAAGTCTTTCGCCAAAAAGTGAGAAGCCTAGATGTTGCCGCAACTGGACAAGTGGCCGATTTGAGAAGTCGACCCCGTTCCTTGTTGGCATTGGAATGGGACCGCGGTAGTGTTTTGCAAACGCGCAAACACGGTTAACATAGAGTCTCTCCTCATCGGACTTCCACGTAAGTCTTCGTTGTCCCCCCCAAACTAAATACTACGTAGGCCTTACAGTTTTTGTTTTGGCCTGTCATTAGACGAATGAACCGAATAGCAAACCACGCCAAGGATTTGCTGAGCTGCCGCTACGCTCGTCAGGACAGGTGGCCAACGAAGTGCCTCGATCTCAAACGATTCGTTGTGGAGACCCTCCAGATTTTGTCTTACCTCACACCCATTAAAAGCATTTGTTCAAGGATGCCCGGGCTTCCATGTAAGCCGTCATTAGTCCTTGGACATAAAAGATTTTCCCCCCTCTAGACACCGTGCTTTGATGATCTTCCTTTGAAACATCTAAGGTTCGGTCCTACGAGGACATTTTGGAGCTTACCCTTGAAGCATGGAATAGCATGCTCCGCAAGACTTTCCAAGCTGCTTGGGTGGTGTGCGGCTATATGGACTGGCATCACATGTCAATCTATGACCCAGAGTTGCACACTCAAAAAGCGCTTGATCTACACGATGCTCAGGCTGTGTTGTCTGATGTCTTCAAGCAGTGCGGCGCAGGCAGCTTCAGCCCCCAACGGTGCAGGATGTTTGAGTGGCAAATTCAAGTCGGGGAGAACCAGGACATGGGTGAGATTGAACTTCCATGTTAGTTGGTAGTTGGTACAGTGTGGCGTTTGTTGGTTTACCCCCCCCCCCCCTCCCCCCAGGACGCTGCGCAATGGTACGCACTGCCGTATGAGATTGCAAGCGCCTATGTGCGTACTCTGGCCCTGACGGTCAACGCTTTGCAAAACAGTAAGAAAAACCTTGCAGTTCTTCGGGAAAAAGACGCGCATGACTCCAAGCCTGCAACCATCAAGGCCCGGAATGAGTACATGGGTCTCCGCAACTGCAAGCGTTGGATTGTGATGAACAAGCGGACAGGCTGTATGGCCACCCAGGAATTCCTTGCTAAGAACGTTCGTACCTCGGAGGATGGCCGACCAGTCTTCAAAAAGATGTCGGCGAAGCAACAACCTTGGGTTATGACACTTGGTTTCAAGGTGGAGAATACTGATGCTCAACTCACTTTGCAGTTGACCACTTCGTCACCATTCTACAATTTGCGATGCTTCGATTTGAGCAAGGGCCAACAACGGTCCAAGCTCACAATCTTGCTTGAAGGCTACGAACACATGGGGCACCCGCTTGAAGACATCGACGGTGACAATGACTTCAGTGACAATGCCAGTGAATCCTCCGAGACTATGATCGGCTCTGACCAGGGGTTGGAAGGACGGACGCTCAAACGAGAATGTTTCATGCCACGCGGGGGAAGGGGTACTAACATAGAAGCCCACAGAATATTGTGAAACAAAGGGTGTTGTGGGTTTACACGAAAGACAAAGTACATTGTTGATGGGATGGCTCAGGTCAGTGGGAGCCACTTCCATGTTAGTTTATCTCCCCCTGGAAGCACATGGGCAACCCCTACGCTACGACCCCTCCTAAGAAATTCATGATGTGTTGGGTGGATGTTATCAAGTTTGTGGGGTAGGTGGATTCCCCTTCAACAACCTGTTCATTCTTTCTAAAACTCAATCCTATTCATGATTTATTGAGGGTTTCTCTCAACACCCGTTCCGAGTTCTATCACCCCGTGGAAGTGTATACAGCAAGTTCTTACTTTCAGAGGTCCCTCAAACATGGAAGCTTCTGGGTTTTGTTTTTTAGGGAAACACTTGTCTTGTTTGGTTAAACGGGAACTTGCAACTTTATCCTACAGGTTTGGTAACTTGCCCCGAGCTAGATTTTGGGTGGTGGGCTGTGTTGCCCCAAAGCAAGTTTCGCTTCCATGTTAGTTTTTTTTGTTTGTTTGCTTTTCCTACAGGCCAAGAGTTGGCTGACGTTGCAGATATGATGCCTGATCCCGCAGCGGCTCCCGGGGCAGGATCTGTGAAAGAGCATTACATTTGGCCAGCTCGTCCCACAGGACATTCCTGAAGGATCACAAGTTGACCCTGACCAGTTTGTTTGCATGGTTGTCACAGCAGGGGATCATGCCAGTAGGTGCAAGCCACCTGCCAGCTTCATGTACCGCGCAGCCTACCAGCAGCTTGCTGAAGAAGGGTGCGTTGAGCTACCAAACAGTCCTGGTGTTTGTATTTACCATCACAACCAGACCTGTCAATGGCATGCAGTCTTCAATAATCAGAATTTTGCCCCGCCTTGGGGTGCAATCCGCAGCGAGCGCAAAGCTCTGCTGTCTGCTTTGCATGCTATTTGGGAGTGGTTTTGTGCGCAAAACCCAAACATGGCCGCTGCAAAGCAGCATGTGGACATGCTCACTCAGAAGCTACAAGAGACTAGCTTTTGAACCCACACACACACACCCAGCTCAAGAATGATTCCCATTTCCCTTCAATTATGCTAACATAGAAGCGCAACCACTTAAAGCTATTCATGGATTGTTCCAACAGGAAGGTTTGGGCGGAGGGTGCGCTCACGCGACGTGTGTGTTTCCAACACTAAACTCAGGGGTACCGACTTAGAAGTCAGGGAAGAAAAGCCAGTGCGACCGATGACTGTGCGCGAGGTCCATCATACGATGCGAGGTCCATTTTATGTTCTATGTTAGCAAGCTTTTGTGTGTCAAATCAATGATTCTGCTCACACGTTTTCCTTGACATGGAAGTGCAGAGCCCTTTTTCAGGTTCTATGTTAGGACACTTTCGTCGGTCAGAACGTGTGTTTTCACCCACGTTTTTCGTTTACATGGAAGTGCAGGCTCAAAGCCGGCCCCCCCAAGAATCTAGGGTTGTTTTGGGAAACCCCAGGATTGCCGTTGCAAGGGGTACCTGGCACAGATTCTATGTTAGGAGATTGTCGTACCTTCCCAGTAAAAAAAAAAGACAGGCATTTCCTCAGGAAAAGACGGTGAAGGGACTTCCATGTTAGAGGGACTTCTGAGAGCAGGGACTTCCTGTTTAATTCCAGAGAGAGTAATATGCATGCGTCTATTGCCGAGTGGGGAAACAACGTGTAGAGATTGTCGGAGGCTCAAGTATGAAACACCCCCAAATCAAGGTGTTACGGACCCTATCAGAGTTCATGGTCTACACTAAATTAGGAAGCCGAAAAGCAAAGGTTGACCTTGTGCAAGTGAGTACTTTGAGACCATGCGTGTCAATAATCTCAAAAGGAGTCGCCAGTCAGGGAAAACCGAGGTTACCGTTTTCAAGATCAAATTCAAGTGGGGGGGTCCTCGATTTTGAAACCTGGTTTGGTCATCGTTCCTCAGAAGGTGCCATGCGACCCTTAGGGAAACACACTTGCAATCTGCACACATCCGTTGTCAACTCACGTCAGGACCACGTATGCCCTTGTAATAAATGACACCAAGAGGCTTGTTTCTTTCTTGAAGGGGCAAAGTACTTGCTCGGTGGTTAGTTGCCATGCCTCCAACTAGTTTGTAAACGTTCTAGCCCATATGGCAAAGGGGTCATACCCATGGCTACATCATCGGACATGTCTCAAAATAGCAATTGGAACCTGCAATGTACCTACAAAACTGTCTCTTCTCCCTTTTGGTTTCCCTTTAGGTCTCCCTTTAACTCACCCCCCCAAACAAATAAACAAACACTTAACCCCCCCACCCCCGCCCCGAAAAAAATAAATAAAACAATCTCAAAGAAAAAATCCCCCCAAAAACACACACACACACAAAAAAAAACGGGAGCCGCTCCCCTTTTTTCATGGGTTCCGGAGCGCCGCGCGCTAAGAGAAGTTCCGGGTTCCGCGCCTGGCCGTCGGCCCGCAAGGCCGCGAAGGCCTTCTGCGAGGCCGCCAAGCTCTTGACGCCCCGCAGCTGCCTCTGGCGAAGCTTTGGCTCAGCCCCAAGGGACCAAGGGACCTGAAAGCCACCTTTGGGGTGCAACTTTTTGGGGTGCAACCCCCGAAATCGGCAGAAACCAAGCAATTAACTTAAAGCTGGTGCGACAAGGGAATGAGGAAATGACACGGATTTGGGGATTCCCTTAAAGGAAACCATAGGGAATGGTTTGCTAGGCCAGTAGAGAGGTTAGAATGAGGGTACCAACTGCTTTCTGCAGCTGTTCTTGGTAGGGGAGCCCTCCCCCAAAACAGGGTGAGAAAGGGCAAGTTTCAAAACGTGGCCTCTCCCCGAAAATAAACTCGAACAGGGTGGGCTTTTTTTGGGGGAAACATGGCACCCCGGTTTCCCCAAAATAAGAGATGCATTCGACAGCTTCGGCTTTGAGACGAATCAGTCCACAAGCAACCGCTGGATAAGACCTGGTTTTGAATTTAGAGGGTACCCTTTTGGGATGTGGTAAAGGTAATCTAGCAGGTACATGTTTGCTGTTGCATTCCCAAACTTGAGCAACAAGCAAGCATCACAGGACCGCGAATGGCTGACGACTCAAAACCTCCCATTTGCCAACTTGCTCGTTGGCTTGCGGCAAAATTGCAAATCCCGATTCAGTTGCCACACAACATACCTGCCAAGTATTTGAATGTCATGCATGTTGGCTCCCGAAAGGGCGCTTTTTAAGAAAACCAAGGCGTTGAAGTGTTGCAATCCATCACTGACTGACAGCAAAGGGAACTACACGCAACCTGAGCTTTGTGTCCAAGCATCTGTTGCACACCGCTGCTGTCGCCCCCAAACCTCAGGATAAACTCGCAGATCCGCAAAACTTAATCTTGCTTAGTTGCCCGAAGGACCTGGAACTGAAAGGTTAACCTTTTGGCGCCATGACAAAGAAAAGGCTCTGAGCAACCGAATCAGTCCGGGGTCTCCGAGTCAGTGACCCCATAACTTCTGAGTGTCAAACTGGTCGGGACTCAACGGACTGATTCGTCAAGCAACTCAGGGAGTTGTTCTTGATGCCAAATGGGAGGCTATTTTTTGGGATTGCCCTTTTTAGGTTGCTTTAAAGGGAAACAAACCGTTGCAAATCCGCCGCCAATTTTTCAGGGCTGCCCTGCTTTGACACGGAAGTGTCCACGTTACCCACCAAAGCTATGGTTTTAGGTCCCCATCCTCATTCCGTGCCAATGTTAGGTGCCAGAGGAAAACTATAGGTCAACCTTTGGAAACCATAGCAAACCATAAGAGCCACAGGACAAAAACAACGTAGGACAAAAAACATGCACAAAAAACAAACAATCACGTCTCCTCCCCACTCGTGTTCTGTGATTCTCCCTCACCTAGCGCGGGACTCCACCGCGCCGCGGTAAAACGCCGCTTGAGACGAGGCGCTTGGGCGATCCCCAGGTCACCACCCGGCCATCGGCCTTCAGTGCGGCGAAGGCCTCGTGGGAGCCGCAGATGGCGACGACTGAGGCGACCTCCTCCTTCAGCTGGGGGTTTTTGGAGCCTGGGCGAGGAACACAGAAAAGGGTTGAGGCTATTTGAGGATACTGTGGATGGACGGAATCCATTTCGCACCACTTTGAAACAATGGGAAACCAGTATTTGTTGGCATTTACAGGGGAATCTTCATCCTAAGCTTTGTTGGGTGGTGCTCGTCCATCCACAGTTTGTCGCAGGTGTTAAGGGTGGAGGATTTGGCCATGGGTCACAAAACCTGTGGCTCCGTTTTGGGTTGGATGAACATCCTGACAGCCACCTATTTTGATGTTCGCGGGTACAGGGTTTTGACCCACATACGTCGCAGGTGGATTGGTCATGGTGGTTACCTCCCGCCAAGTAATATGGAACCTCACGTTTCGGGGGGTGGTTTTGGTTTAGAACCTGGGCGAGGAAGCCACAGGTTGGGTGAGGAGATGTGGCTGAGCAGAAGGTCAACCATGAACATGGGACCATTGAGAACCACAAAAGCTGATAGTTCCAACTGAATGGGAAAAGCTACCCATCATTTGGGGGCCAGGAATAACAAGTGGAATGGGGCTGGTGTTTGAAATGGGATGGGAGGTGGAGTTGGGGCTGAAGTTGGCGCTGAAGTTGGGGCTGGAGTTGGGTGGAGTGTGAGTTCGGTGGAGTGGAGTTGAATGGGAGTGGAGTTGAATGGGAGTGGAGTTGGGGTGGGTGGGGTAAGGGTGGGGGGTTGAGGATATGTCGTAGGTGGCTGTTTTGGTTGTGGTTGTTATATATCTAGGTGGTTTTTTTCGCCTGGTTTTCTGTTTTTCAACTATGGTTTCCAAGACAGAACCAATGGTTTTCCTGGAGGCAGTGGAGTCATGAGAGGGATTGGGGGAGTTTGGGGGTGGAGATGAGGATTTTGGTGGTGGGGGGATATGAATAGAAGCCGAAGGCGGCCCGGAGTGGGTTTACTTTGGAGACGTTCTGGTTCTTGTGGTGAAATGGGCTTTTGGGACCTGAATGGGCTACGGAGGGATTGGGGTGGCTGACTTGAGGTCCCAAACAGCACCGGAGGCGTTGCAGGTTGATGCCTCGGTTGTGATTTCATCCATTGTGTAAGAGACTGAGTTATTTACTTTCATGGGGAAAAACAAGAAAAACACACATTGGCCCCTTTTCTTGGCTGCTTTCGAGAGCAAACCCTAAGCAAACAAAAATAATCGAGGGTGCCACTTGGCAACTGGGTACTGTGCTGGGGAAAATCTACTTCACAGCTGTTGGTAGGTGGTTTATCCCTGTTTTCAATGGGGTTGCATCCATCCCAACTCGCAGTCAACGGGGTCAGCAGGTGGTGATTTGGAACCTCACCTACGGGTGGCGGTTTGCTTCTGTTGTTTTTCCCCGTGGGGGTAGCGGGTGGCTAAAACGCGGCACCGCCTCCCATCTCGGGGGCTTGAATCCCAAAGCTCAAGATGAGAACTGGACCCCCGAGCAAAGGACTTATACACACAATGGTGCTGTCCTGTTTTTTTAGCCCTGAATAGGTGGGCCCGCTCGCCATAAAACACGCGGATCTTCCATTTGGTGAAGACCCCTGGGGAAAAAGAACAAATATGTCCAGCGATAAATTCCAGTTGAGCCAATAGAAGGGACAAAAACAAATAACTATTCTTTAGCTTAAATGGTAGGGATTCAATCGCAGGGCATGCCAAGGGGGTGGAGGGGTACGGCGTCCAAGCCAGGGAGCCCCAAGTGATCACGGATCCATCGCTTCGTATGGCCGCGAAGGCGTAGCTGGAGCTGGCGATGTGCTTCACGGAAGTCAGCTGCTGCTGGACGTTGCGGCTGTCACCCCCTGGGTAGTTCTCCTCAGCCGCGGATTTGTCTTCTCCAAACTGGGGACCAATTCGTCCGGGAAAAAGCGGTGTCCTTGTGGTTTTCCACGTACCATCCAAAAGGGGTCCTATTTTGAGAAACCCCACACACATCAAGTTCGAGTAAACATGCAACCTCCAGGCCCTTGCGGCGAATACAGGTGTTGATTTGGCTAGTCCTCCATCGGTTTCTGGTGGACATGGCCATGGGTCTAACAATATGGAATGGGTACTCTCCAAAAAACACAAGCCAACTGCAGTTCGTGGGTGGACCCCAAAGCCCGACTAAGTCAAACACTTGGTTACCCCGCTCCATACATTAAATTGGATGCACGAAGACAATGGGGAAGGGCCCTTGGTGATACACCCACCCCCTTGGTTGGGGCCTTGTGCTTGAGAAAATAGTGAAGACACCTACCAACACAAGGTTCAAGAGCTGTTGCTGCGTCCTATGAGTCTTCGAGGAGGCTCATCTACCAAAATTATCATGATGAAAGAAAGGACCCCCGTAGAAAAGAACAAGCAACATGTGCCCCTAATGGCCGCAAACCATGTACCTCGTATCCAGTCAGCCAAGAAGCCAAGAAGGCGGGAACTCTTTTGGTGCAAGTGCCAAAGGTTCCCTTACTTGAAGGGGCCAAGTGTGTAACCCTGGCTCTAAGCTACTTAGGGGGCTCTCAACCATTGGGTGTCAACGGCTCCAAATCCTACCTGACGTACCTTGTAGGATCCCAACTCGCCCCAAATCTCCAAATACTCGCTTGACGCTTGGGCGCGTTCCTTCGGGACTGGCCGCATGGGGTACGTGTCAAAACGGGGGAACCCTCAAACATGGCTTCGGTTGTCCTTTCGGCGTCCCTTTAAAACAGGGCTGTGGGGAATGACCACTTCTGTGATACAGAAAAAGGGCTTCCCAAAGACTATTTTGTTGATATAAAGGGGGATTCTCTTGTATCACAGAAGTGGGGAGACATCCCTTGATCCACAACCCTGCTTTAAAACCACCCCCAAGAGCGTACCAACTCAACAAAAATGCACGCCCCCCATTTTGGGTTCCCCAAATCGTGGGTCCCCTAAGTCCCCTTGAAATGACCACAGTTTCCTCATGGCTTCCATTTACCCTCCCACCAACTGGAATGGAACCTGACAGAGTCCCTTGAAAAGAAGAATGGTCCAAACCAGGACCCCCCAAAACGTCAGGTTCCATGTGAAAAGGGGAGGTGGAAAAAAAAACACAAAAGGCGGCCGATCGCGAGAAGAAAGCTTCATAGGCATGGACATCAGCGGCCCCCTAGCCCTTCATCTGGGGGCTAGAACCCTTATGTTTCTTTATGAGCATTTTCTCGAACGTTTACAGCCGCACCCCTCCCATCCGATCTCGACATATTCTCCGAAGGCTCGCCCCAGGTGGCCACCGAGCCGTCCGACTTCAGAGCCGCAAAGGCGAAGCCGGTGGCGAAGACCTGGCGATCGGAGGGCGGAGGGCGGGCACGGGACCAGCAAGCACAGGGATCCTCGAAAAAAGAGGTACTTGCAGGGGGAAACCATTCTAACAACAAGGCATAATTATCCACCAACACATTGGAGCCGGATGCACTATACACCTGAACATTGCAACTTGTTTTATTGCTGGCTTCACTTTATATTTTGGTGTTGAACAAGCAACATGTTTCAAATGGTTGCAAAATGTATCTTTTAAGGAGCCCTGCAAAAGTAGAGGTCTATCTTCAAAACCGGAAACTCCATGTCTAGGTCCTCCAGTAGAGAGGTTAGAATAAGGGTACCTTTTTTTTCAGTATTGTAGTAGGGGAAGCCTCCCCCAACAAAGGGTGAGGAAGGGCACTACTGGGGGACCTAGATGTGGTCTGTGGATGTCTGTGGTTCCCTTTGAAACCATCCAATTTGGATGGTTTTGAAGCGGAACCAAAGGAACCAACAGGGCCCTCCTGAAAGGTCCCGATCCAAGTTGTGTTGAAGGACAAAGGAACCCATGCAGGGGTCCCCCGCTCTCCTGGTCAAGGATTTCAGAACGCTTGACTCGTTCCATTGGGCTTGTCGGGGACTAAAAGCTACGGCTAGAGCTCAAAATGAAGCATTCATTCATCATTGCGTCTTCTGTTTTCAGCTAGGTGCGCTGATTGTGCAACATATTCACGTGCCCATTTGCATCATGTGTTTTTAACAAATTTGCTGAGGGCCTCGTCTGGCAAACTTCCGCCTCCCGCTGGAGTCAGCAAACTGAGCCCAGAGTCAGAGGCTGGCCATGGGCCACTTCCTCTTTGATGGCTCACAGCTTTCTGGGCTGCATCCTATGCCCCCTGTCTCCGAGTGTAACTTGGTTGACGTTGGAAGGGGAGCAACAAAAACAAATGCAGTTAAGTGGGGATTTCCCTCTAAGCCACAATAAGCAAAGCACCGCACGAGCTGCGATGATGCACTCGATTGGATCGGGAAATGCGCAGTCGCAAACAGCGACTCTGTGCCTATTTGCGAAAGGCTGCAATATGCAAAAGACCGGTTCCCCTATGGTTCCTATATAAACATGCCAGCAAAAGGGGACATATGAGCCACGACCCCCGCCTCTCGCGGATTTTGCGTAGCCTTTGCGCGGCCCTTGCATGTCCGCATGTCCAAACAAACAATCCAACTGTATTAGTTGCCCGCCGAAGGGTCCAAAAGGCTATTAACGTACTTCTCAGAAAGTAGATTCACCCAATCCAAACGCCTAAAAACCATCCTCAAAGGTTGTGTCGATTCAGATAAGCCCCCGTTTTCCTTCCCCAAAACGCCGGTTCTTCCAGGAAGCTCTCCGGGTCTGCACGGCACGCGTAGCTCCCTCCCTCCCGGCCTCCGCCACATCTGTCAGCTGTGCCTTCGCCGAGGCGAGGTCCTCGATTCGCCGATTCGCCGGCGGGCTGAAAATCGAGAGCCCCACCCAGGGGCAAGGCCTTAAATATCAGGGGCTTGGACACCAAAAGACCTTAAAGGAGCCACCACCATGGGTTTCTTCTTGGCCTTCGCGTTTCTTTTTGGGGGGGGGGAAGAAAAGAACGAAGCAACTGACCCCACCCCCACCCGTCCAAATATCAGCTTGGACCCCAAAAGAGCTCAAATCATATGGTCTTGGGACCCTAGGGCCACTTAGCCCAAGCGACTCACTCGACCGCTCCGAGAAAAAAAAAAAAAAACTTTCCGAGGCGCGGCGCCGAAGTCGGGGTCGCCCCAGGCCACGACGCGGCCATCCTCGCTGAAAGGGCCCAGAAATATAGGGTCAGCCATCTGGCAGTGGGTCCAGAATGGGTACCCAAAATCGAACCCTGGTAAATGGAATCAAGACCAAAAGCCGCGTAACCCTAGCTCTTTAATTTTGAGCCACACCCATTTGGGGCCATGACGAAACAAACAAACGGTCGCTAAAGAGCTAAAGAAGGGAACCCCAAAGGGCAACATGGTTGCCGCAAAAAGAAGGGAACACCCAACAAGTTAAACAAAAGGTCTTGCAACTGCTCAATGGTCGCCGAAAAACTGGAGGAACACCCAACAAGTTGAAACAACTAAACAAAGATGGTCACCCCCGCAAGTTCAACAACTGAGTCGGAACAGGCAACACACAGCAACACCAAAGCTCGGCTCTACAAAACTGGTTGTCAAAAAGAAGGGACCACCAAAAGCGGAAACACCGAGTGAACACCAAAAGGAGGGAACACAACAAGAACAAAAAGGACCACCAAAGACCTCCTCGCAACTCATGGCAGCGCCAAAAGCTGCTTTGGACCTCCGAGCTCCGGTTCCGAGTCCTCCAAGACCGCGGCAAAGGCGCCGAAGGAGGCCGCCACCTGCCGCACTTGGCGCAGCTGCGCCGCCTGAGGCTCGCGCGACGCGAGGCGCGCGCGACGCGAGGAGCGTGGGATCCTTTGGGGGGAAGGGGCCAAGTTGGGTCGTCTTTGTGGGAGTTGGTACCCGGAAATCCATTGCAAAACCAAAGCCTTTTTAGGGGGTCCAGCCAAAAAGTCATGTTTCTGGGTGAATTATAATATTTCACCAAGGAACGAACGAATCCGGGTGTGTGAGCACTGCGACCTTTAGGAGTTTGGGGGTGGCCAAATCAAAGAGCACAGCAACAACTTCACCAACCTGAAATAAGTTGGTCGGGGGGTCTATTCCCCACATAAACCACCAAAAGGGGGATGAGGTCGTCAAACTCCTACACTTGTAGCCGAGGGCTTGAAGACTTGAAGTGTGAAGCGTGAAGCCTTGGGATGGTTGCCCTTAACTCCGTTTGACTCTGGGCTAAGAAACCCTAGACTAGTAGTTCTAGCAACTAAGCAAGTGGGAATGTGGAGGGGGGAAGGCAGCTCCCCTCTTCTTGTTGACAACCAAAAAGACATGAGCAGGCAACACCACAAACTCATAGCAGCATAGCCCGAGTCAAATCAGATGGGCGGCACCCGTCAATGTACTTTGGGTTCTACCAGCATGGCTACAATGGGTTTCATGGGCCTTGCTATAACCAACATGAAACCAGGTGGAACCTGAGTGGATCATTGGCGGGGAAATCAAATCTCTGTTGAATAGAAGATTGATGCAACACTCGCTGAGATATCATGTCTGACCTACTAAAAGTACGGCCCATGGCTCTTTCGGAAATCGGTCTTGGGCACCTTTCCGTCCTGTGAGGTGACCCCCAAAACCGGTTTCGGTATTTTCTCTTGGTTCCCCGTTGAAACCAGCCAAAACAGGGGTGCCAACTCCAACAAAACAGATGCCCCAGGCGCCACCGGCAGGCAGTTGCCCCCGGAGAAGGGGTCGCCCCAGGTCACCAGCGAGCCATCCGCTCTCAGCAGAGCAAAGGCCGCCGAGCCGATGCGCGACACCAAGGTGGCCTCGAGTTCTCTTAACTCGGGGCCAGGGGTTGGTGCCAAAATACCGTTGAACCATCCAAATTTGGATGATTTCCGATTGGCTTCCCGAAACAATTTCTTTTTGGGCGGTACCCCCCCCCAAAAATATAGAGAAACTCGTAATGGGCTTTGTGTCAAAATACGGAACCCGCCAATTTGTGCTGCTTTCCTTGTGGCTTCCGAGAAAGAAAAAAAACGAAAGAATAAAACACGTTGTTTGTGTGTGTGTGTGTGTTGTTTCTGTTGGGGAGTGAAAGGGTTACCCCAAAACATATACACACACCCAGTTGGGTCTGATTGTTCTTGGCCGGACTCCTGGTCGACTGGCCACCGTTAGCACTTTTCAGGGTTTGCCCACATCCGTTGGGTATATACCTCCACCTTCCAAAGGGTGCAAAAAAAACGGCTGTTCAAGCACAAGTAGGTTTTGCTTTGGAACGGCGATCTTGTCAGGGAAACGGCGATTCTTGATTGGGATTCGCCGGGCGTGACATGTCACATCGGATGCTCTCAGCTGTCATGGCCTGGGCCCGTTCCTGTTGACTCCCACCCTCCTGCCTTTTTTCGCTCCTAGCACTACAGGTACGTGGCCGTTTGGCCAAAACAGCGAAATCCGCCGACCCTCTGCCTCCCGTCCCAGCCTCCTGCAGAGGGGACCGGCGTGGGATGCAACTGGAAGTGATTGGAATCAATGATAGTCCCTGGGGGACACGCCCGAACCCACAAAAAGTGGATTCCCTCCCTGCGACCAAACCGGCCCGTGCGGTTATTGACGTCCTTGTGGTAGTAGAGGATCCCTGGATCTATTCTGCAAGAGAGTCCAATACGTCAAGTCAAACCGCGCCAGACTGGGACCAGCCTGCTGCCGGCGACCGGTCCAGGGCAACTTCGGGAGGGCCAGTTTCAGGGCGACCCCGGGAGAGGCGACTGCTCCCGGCCAACTCGAAGTGACTTGGGCGCAAGCCGGCCCAAGCGGTAATTAACGGACTAGCTGCCCTATTTCTGACTTTTCCGTTAATCCTTGTTTGTGGTCAACTTCGGGAGGGCCAGTTTCAGGGCGACCCCGGGAGAGGCGACTGCTCCCGGGCCAACTCGAAGTGACTTGGGCGCAAGCCGGCCCAAGCGGTAATTAACGGACTAGCTGCCCTATTTCTGACTTTTCCGTTAATCCTTGTTTGTGGTCGTAGAGGATCTTATAAGTGGTCCCTGGGTTTGCGGACGTGTTTCAGGACCGGTCCTTGTGACTTTTCCCTTAATGCGCCGAGGGTCGGCGGCAGCAGGCGGGAGCCTGGTTAATAAATAAAACAGCGCTTTGCACAAAATTGGGCGGCTTCTTCAAGAATCGCCGCTTCAGAAACGCCACTGCTCTGGCTCCTACTGGCGGCGCAGCGGCTTTTGGCTGGCCTGGGCCTTGGCTCGATACCTTCGGTGAAGGGGTCGAGCTTTCACGAGGTAGAGTTGCAACACCCGCTTCAACAATTGCTTTTGATGGCATCGCCTGCTGGTGATTGAAATCTTGCCAACTAGGTCTTCGTTTTGCTCACAGCTGTGTATGAGCGGGCTTGCTATTTTGATGGCACCTTGCCTCAGGACAGCTTTGATTTCAACAAGTGCGTGGTTGAAAGAATGCATGTGTGGCTTCATGGCCCACCCTGCAAATTTGAGTTCCCGAAGAGCGACACCTGCCAGTTGTGCGTAAGTCTGCTGGAACTCATAGCCTGCGCAGACCCTTGCAGCGCAGGCTTGGTCTGACCAAAGCCCATGCTCATATAGAGCACTTGCGGGGATTTAACAGCAATCTCGCTTCCACGGCGCATCATGCGGCTTGATCAAGTGGCGCTTGAATAAAGCCGCCAACGATGGCAACCAACCATTCCAAAATAAGCGGAACATCGGAGCCCTGGACATTAAACCATGGATAGCTATCCTTTGATTCAGATGGCGCACGCGGGGAGAAGCGAAGTGGGGCAAACACAAACTTGTGATACTCAGCCATCACGCGGGCCCATGTCTCAGCTGGGTCACTTCAAAGGAGGGTGTGAGGGCCCAAGCAAACGCTCAATTTCTGGCTCAGTACTCCACTTTTTGAGACACTCAATTTCTTTTTGAAGGGGAAATCAGTACTCAATTTCTGAGACAGTGCTAGACCGTCAGCACTTAATTTCTGAGGACAGTTCTGAGGGGGGTCAGCAATAGAATCCTGAGGGGAGGTACCACAAAAACCTCACTTGAGTCCCCCGAAGCCGAATGAGAAGCTGCACGGGAAGCAATAGGGCCAACCATCAAATAATTGACAATTGTGTTTCGCGTCTCCTTGAAGCTCCCTTTCAAAGCAATTAATTTGCAAATCCCCAATTGAGCCAAGTATCAGGTAGCTATGTATACTATTTGTGTTCTTTCGTTTTCTTGGCCACGAAAGCCCCTTTGCAAAGTGCCGGAGAAAGAATCGTGTTGTGACATTGGGGGCGCAAGTTCTGAGGGGAGTCCTGAGGCGAGTTCTGAGAGGGGGTCAGCACGAAAGTCCTGGGGGTGAGTACTCAATCACATAGATTAGTGAGGGCGATTACTCACAGTTGGCCTGTGCAAAGAGCTTAAACACACGCATCAACCTCCTCGTCATCCTTGTGAACCGCGGAGACTGATTAGGGAAACTTCTTCCGCCCTGGTCACTTGCAAGCGCATCATGGTTGACCTTACTGTTTCTGCACAGCACAAGGTCTTTTGCCGGTACTTGTCGGCAACTTGAAGGCGGCTAACATGCACCACATGGCTGGTTCCAACCCCACTGATTGAGCATTGTGTCCTTCGACACGAACTCTCCTGCAATGATCAACTCATTCGATTCCATTTCCATACGGAGTGGCTCGCATACCTGCTGGAAGGACCCTAAGATCAGGCGTTTCAGGCTACGGCTAATGAAAGCAAAGGGTCTCTGCAGAATCCACCTCACAGATCTTCTCAATGTTTTTTTTGCGCCCCCTGCCATGCAGTCAGCAATGATGGCTTCGCTTCTTTGAAGGTCCCGTTTACCGCAATCGAAGCTTTGATCGCCTCGCCGATGCCGACAAATGCAATTTTCCCGGCTTTGGCTTATTCTTGTTGGCAACAGCGTCGTCCATGTAAGGGATTTCATCTTGTTTTCTTCAGGTTCCTGAGAGTTCCCTTCATCATCTTCCGACTCACGCTCATCAGCCTCCCAACTGCAGCGTGGCTGCACGATCGAGTTTCCTTTTGAGATCAACCACGTCCGCCTCAGCAAGAGAAGTGGGAGATGCTTCCCTGGCCAAAGGCGTGGGCTCTGCAGGCCAGGAACCTTTGCCCAAGGGAGTCTCTTTGGCAGGGGCGGTGTGCGCTTGGATCGCAGCGACGCTGGGCAAGGTGTTGACGGCCTGGGAAGGGCATACCCGTAGACCATAATCGCTTAACTGTTTATACCATCATGTTGCTTTTGCTCCGGGGCCAAGACACAGACTCCGAAAAACTGGGCGGAGCAAGTGGCTTAGTCCACTCTTTCTCTTTCTCGTTCTTCCGACTCTTGACTTCCTGGTGTTCCTTCTGGATAGCCTGTTGGTCTTGCAGCCCAGCAAGGAAACGGCAAGGCGCTTGGAGTTCCATCAGCGTGGCACTGCTCCGCCGAAGTTGGACTTTCCTGCTCCAGCATCCTAAGGCGTCCATGACCCTCCCTTTCCAACCTTCAGGCTTGAAAGGGACCAGGGGTGACGGAGAGCTTCGCCAAATACATTCTATGCGATTTTCACGCAAGCACTCAACTTTCAAAAAGTGCGAAAAATGAAACGGCGATCTTGGGCGACCAACCGGCGATCTTTCGCGGCCAAACGGCGATCTTTCCCGAACCAGAAATTCGCAAAATTTTAGGCCGTGGCTTTGCACGTTTGCCCTTTTGCCCTTTCTGACCGCCGAAGATCCGCTAGACCCCCCAAAGACGGCCAGAAAGGGCAAAAGGGCAAACGGGCAAAGCCACGGCCTAAAATGTTGCGAATTTCTGGTTCGGGAAAGATCGCCGTTTGGCCGCGAAAGATCGCTGGTTGGTCGCCCAAGATCGCCGTTTTATTTTTTCGCACTTTTTGAATGGTTGAGTGTTTGCGTGAAAAAAGCATAGAATGTATTTGGCGAAGCTTTCCGTGAATTGGCAAGAAAGCTGCTGCAGTGCATCACATTGCCCAGTCATGGACGCCTTAGGATGCTGGAGCAGGAAAGTCCAACTTCGGCGGAGCAGTGCCACGCTGATGGAACTCCAAGCGCCTTGCCGTTTCCTTGCTGGGCTGCAAGACCAACAGGCTATCCAGAAGGAACACCAGGAAGTCAAGAATCGGAAGAACGAGAAAGAGAAAGAGTGGACTAAGCCACTTGCTCCGCCCAGTTTTTCGGAGTCTGTGTCTTGGCCCCGGAGCAAAAGCAACATGATGGTATAAACAGTTAAGCGATTATGGTTTACGGGTATGCCCTTCCCAGGCCGTCAACACCTTGCCCAGCGTCGCTGCGATCCAAGCGCACACCGCCCCTGCCAAAGAGACTCCCTTGGGCAAAGGTTCCTGGCCTGCAGAGCCCACGCCTTTGGCCAGGGAAGCATCTCCCACTTCTCTTGCTGAGGCGGACGTGGTTGATCTCAAAAGGAAACTTGATCGCGCAGCCACGCTGCAGTTGGGAGGCTGATGAGTGTGAGTCGGAAGATGATGAAGGGAACTCTCAGGAACCTGAAGAAAACAACGATGAAATTCCTTACATGGACGATGGCGGTAAACGGGACCTTCCAAGAAGCGAAGCCATCATTGCTGACTGCATGGCAGGGGGCGCAAAAAAAAACAAGACATTGAGAAGATCTGTGAGGTGGATTCTGCAGAGACCCTTTGCTTTCATTAGCCGTAGCCTGAAACGCCTGATCTTAGGGTCGTTCCAGCAGGTACGCGAGCCACTCCGTATGATAATGGAATCGAATGAGCTGATCATTGAAGGAGAGTTCGTATCGAAGGACACAATGCTCAATCAGTGGGGTTGGAACCAGCCATGTGGTGCATGTCTTCAAGTTGCCGACAAGTACCGGCGAAAGACCTTGTGCTGTGCAGAAACAGTAAGGTCAACCATGATGCGCTTCCCTTTTTCCCTTGTTTTCTTGGATCCCTCAAATACCCGCTTGCAAGTGACCAGGGCGGAAGAAGTTTCCCTAATCAGTCTCCGCGGTTCACGAGGATGACGCGGAGGTTGATGCGTGTGTTTAAATTATTTGGCCCCCCAAAACCAAACCGTGAAAAATCACCCTCATTTTTCGGTGTGATTGAGTACTCACCCCCCGCTCAGGACTTTAGCGCTGACCCCCCTCAGCACTCCTCTCAGAACTTGTGCGCTCCCAATGTCACAGTGCGATTCTTTCTCCGGCACTTTGCAAAAAGGGGCTTTCGTGGACCAAGAGAACGGAAGAACAAAACTAGTATACATAGCTACCTGATACTTGGCTCTGTCAATTAATTGCTTTGAAAAGGAGCTTCAAGGAGACACCAAAAAATGTTAATTATTTGATGGTTGGCACTATTGCTTCCCGAGCAGTTTCTCAGTCGGCTTCGGGTTTTGGTACCTCCCCTCAGGATTCTATTACTGACCCCCCTCAGAACTCCCCTCAGAAATTGAGTATTGATTTACCTTTCAACAAGAAATTCAGTGCCTCAAAAATTGACCCCCCAGAAATTGAGTACGGGATTCCGTTGCCCCCACAGTCCCCAAAATTGATCTGCACAAGTTCCCTGAGGAATAGTAAGGCCAACTATGCAGCCAGTTCAATTGACACTGTTCGTGAGCGTTTGTTTGGGTCTTCATATCCTATTCTGAAGTGACCCAGCTGAGACATGGGCCCGCGTGATGGCTGAGTATCACAAGTTTGTGTTTGCCCCACCTCGCTTCTCCCCTCGTGTGCGCCATCTGAATCAAAGGATAGCTATCCATGGTTTAATGTCCAGGGCTCCGATGTTCCGCTTATTTTGGAATGGTTGGTTGCCATCGTTGGCGGCTTTATTCAAGCGCCACTTGATCAAGCCCACGTCCCACTCTTGCGCATGATGCGCCGTGGAAGCGAGATTGCTGTTAAATCCCCGCAAGTGCTCTATATATGAGCATGGGCTTTGGTCAGACCAAGCCTGCGCTGCAAAGGTCTACGCAGGCTATGAGTTCCATCAGACTTACGCACAACTGGCAGGTGTCGCTCTTCGGGAACTCAAATTTGCAGGGTGGGCCATGAAGCCAAGAATGCATTCTTTCAACCACGCACTTGTTGAAATCAAAGCCTTCCTGAGGCAGGGTGCCTTCAAAATAGCAAACCCGCTCATACACAGCTGTGAGCAAAACGAAGAAATAGCTGGTAAGATTTCAAGGATATCAAAAGCAATTGTTGAAGCGGGTGTTGCAACTCTACCTCGTGAAAGCTCGAGCCCTTCAGGAGGCATCGAGCCAAGGCCCAGGCCAGCCAAAAGCCGCTGCGCCGCTAGTAGGAGCCAGAGCAGCGATGAGGGGCAAAACCGAGAGGCGAATGTAAGCTTGAACCGGTGGTTTTCTATGTGGCTTTTCTGAAGCGGCAATTCTTGAAGAAACCGCCCAATTTTGCGCAAAGCGCTGTTTTATTTCGCTGTTTCATGAAGCGGCGACAATTGTGTACCACAAGAATGTACAGGTATGGGTGCTTCTCGAAATAGGAATTGGACCTCGGGGAAACCCAAAGAAAATCGCAATGTGGGATGATAATCCCAAATTTGACACACTTTTCAGTCACACACTCATGTATAAATATCGTGGGTAATATCGTGGTGTCCCACACCAACCTGCTAACTGGAAGCTCACGTGGTTTCTAAGAGATGTCCTTCTGTGATCTAGGGAAACCTGAGGGATAGAAGTCTTGGGGCAGCACAAAAAAGCACGCCCCCAACTTGGGGGGGTGGGTTCTCAAACAAAAATCGGCTATTTAAAAAAAAAAAAAAAAAAAAAAAAAAAAACAAGGTGACCATTTTGAGAAGCGCCCATGTCGAATCTCCACCCTCTGGAATAGAGTTGCCCAGGCTCGGCGGGCCCAAGGAAAGCATGAGTGAATTGGGCGAGCAACTTGGGACTTGCGAACACCCAGAAAGAAGCAGCGGGGGCGCTTTGAAAGAATCAGCTGGGCCAGACTCCTGATTGTTCAAACAAGAAACACCGAATTGACCAACCAGAAGTTTGTGAGATTCCCGTCCAACCATGGCTGCTTTCTCGTTTTGGAAGGGGATTCTGGCCACTCGCAGAAAGTGGAAACCTGAAACATTGCCTTTGCCACCGTGAAATCGCATGGGCAGGTCCCTCTTTGTCGCCAAACTCCTCAAACTTGGCAAGCCCAGGATGTTCCTCAAACAACTTGAAGCTAAGGGGGAGTGAGAAATAGCTCACTACAGTTCACCAAACGAACATGGGCTACAATTGGGTGAGAATCGTTTTGTTGGTGAATAAATTGGATGACAAACCAACTGGAGAAAGTTGTACCATCTACTTTCACTGTGCAACCAGTTTTCCCAATATGTCCCCTGGAAGGGCACTTTAAAAAATCGCCTGGGCCAATTTCAAGTCTTTTCCCAGGGTGATGTGTACAGGGGAAACACTAGGGAGCCCTGACCCTGGTCATTAGTAAGAAGGGAACACCAACCTACGTGGCTATTGCCAAGTGCAAAATGTGTGCCTGGTTGGTGGGTCCGAAAATTCATGTTTTCCGAAAAGTTAAAGGTTACAGATCCAACTAAATAGCAAAAGCAACAAATTGATTTGGCCAGTGAAATACCTCAACTAAAGTGTACCCACCTGAACTTGGCCAAAGGGTGATGTGGGTGTATCTTTTTTGAGTACCCGTTTTCTACCGGTGTTTAAGTGAAACTAAAAGGATCCCCGTTTCGCCTGTTTGGGGGTCCAAAGCCTACAAAGAGATGTCTAAAACCAGTGAGGAATTCTGGCGGGGACCTTGGCAGTATCGCGCATACGTCTGTGGAACATCACCATTCAAAACCCTTCTCGTTGGGTTCTGAGCAGAATGGTGTCAAACTTCTTTGTTCAGGGTCAACTGGGCTTGATGCAGCTTGGCAGTTGGAAGCCAATAAAACAAAAAACCAAAAAAGGGGAAAACAGAAGAAGAACAAAACAATAAAACAAAGCTAACAAATAACTAAAAAAACACCTTGGCAGTTGGAAGCCCATAAAACCAAAAAAGAACAAACAGATAAAACATGGCCTGGCGCGCCGTGGCGCACAGGCACTGGCCCTCCACCTGGATCTGAGAGATCGATGCCGTGATTTTCTGGGAGCGAAGCTTTTTATGGAAGCTGGAAACACAAAACACCGTGGGAGTGGTGGGTATTTCTATTCATAGGGGTTCATCCACTGGTGCAAGTTGCACCAGAACAGGTCATTCAACTTCGAAGTTTGAGTTCTCAAAACCCTTTAAGCCATGAGGGAAATTTATGAGGATGTCACTTTCATGGACCCTGGCAAACGTGACCCTGCTTCAGGGTGAGTTGCATCGCTCCAAATTCCGGGTCGCTCTGAGTTTTGGTCAAATGGTGTATTGCGCATACGTCTCAAATCTCGTTTCGTTGGGTTCCAAGCAGAATGGTGTCAAACTTCTTCGTTCAGGGTCAACTGGGCTTGGTGCAGCTTGGCGATCCATGGCGTTCAGCACTGAGATGACTCTTGTTTCAGCCAAATTGGTACTGGGCCTACCTCCAAGAGCGCAAAAACAAAAAAAAACACAGGAGCTATTGCCTCGAGCGCAGATTCCTCGTTCTTTTCAGTGTCCATGTGACTTTCTGCAGAGTATGCGCAAATGCGGTAACGCCTCAAGAGAAAGTGCACCATTGTCCTTAGCAGTGTTTGTGTACCGCACGGCAGGCTTCTCAGGGGTGACTGATTCTTTAAACGGGAGATCACCATTCACAAACTAAAGGAACAACAACCTGCTAATCCTATTGTAACATATTAGTGTCCTTCTTAGGGGACCCCCAAAAAACCACACAAAAAAGGTACCCTCACGAAAAAACTGCCGCATATGGCAAGGAGCCCTGTCCGGTGTCCCAAATGAGCCACAATCAAAACCCGGTACTAAAATGGTGAACCCAGAACCATGCTTCAAGAATTCAGAAGGCGGATATCCGCAGCTAGTTATGGCTGGGATTGGCCCATACTAACCTTCATCTAGCTGGGTTTTGAGCACGTGGCTCAAATTTCCAGGCCTCGGCCTGCTCCAGCGTAAGGCTGCCAGGCAGCAGCCTGCCATCTGCGGCCACCTGACTCCCCGCTAGAACCGGGGGACGGGGGCGCGCCAGCTGCTATCCAAGAACCCTCCAACATACCTTTTCAGCATACCCCAAGCCTCCCGTGATCATGATTCTTTGCGTTTGGAGGGTTCATGGATTGTAAGATGTAGATGACGCCAGCAGGGTGTGCAGCCATCGAGCCACTGTGCAAACACCTATGGCTTAAGCATTCAAATCTTGTGTCGGTTCCCTAGGGAACCAGTGCTGGTTTGAAGAACAAATGCTCACTGCCGCTCTTCGGCCGGGCGATGAATACCTATGGGTCGGCAACCAGAGAACGAGGGATGAGCAAGAGGGTTGTAGTTTTTTTCATCCGGAATTTTGGAACCCCAGACTCAATCTGATCGCCTTGAGGAAGCAAAGGGTTCCCGGTTGTGGCAACCCTGGATTCATGAACCTCTAGCTGATTTGTTGAAGCAAGCCATGAGGGGATCCGGATCAGTTTGGGGGGAATGGCACCCTGATTACAATTCCGGCAGGGTGATAATCCTATCCTGTTTGATGCGGACAGATCTTGATTGCTTCTGCAAGACCCACAAAACCAACCTGCCCTTTATGCAGCAGCTTGGCCCTCTTCCCCTGTTCTTGAGCTCTCGTTGAAGCAGGGGAACCGGCTGGAAACAAAGGGAAGGTCCCCGTCCTCGGGTTCTTTTCGCCGTGCGGGCCGGCGGATTGGGCGCAAATCGAATCTCCCGTTTTGAGACAAACCACTATAGTAGGAGAAACCAGGTGTCATCTGCAAGTTACATATGGCTTCCCCTGCCTACTCTAATTGGGGGAGAAAACGAAAGGCCCTACCCCAGCAAAAAGGCTTAGAAGAAAGCTTCGGGAATCCGATCGAAGGTTCTCGATTCAAATTGGGGGTGGGGGTCCCAACATATCTTCCGCAGGTTTAACCACTATACCAGGCAGCTTTCCATCATCCTTTTCGCTTTCGAAGGGTACCTGGCCTCAAAATACCCTTGAACATGGGTTATTGCCCCAAAACTATGGGGTGGGTTCGCTTTTTTCTTAGGTAGTTTGAGGGTCCAAATAGTTCCTGTGGTTACCTACACTACAGGGAAATTGAATCCATCGGTCTCCCTAATGGCTTGCCTGGAAGCTCTGGGTAAGATAAAAGCCACTGGAGCCGCTGGAGGATGCTTAAACTTCTGGCAGATTATCCCGAGTCCGAAACGCACAGGGAGGCCCATTGACGAGAGCTGACTTGAGGTTTCACCAGGTAAGCAAGGCTTCTGGCCTATCTGCAAAAAATCCCGTTACCCAATGCTCGGTTTGCTCCCTCAAAAAAAATGACCGAATTCTGCAGTATCTTGGCGCAAATGACCCTGAGAAATCAAGTAGAATCCATAATGGCCAATATTCAGCTGGCTCACGTGCCACCTGCAAAGAAAGGGCGGTTTCAACCGGTATGGGCCATGGTTCCCCTTACTAATCAGTCGTGGTTGTCTAAATTGCCTATGAAGGGGTCCATGACCATGCCTGCCGACTCCAAGCAAAAGGGCTACTAAAATGGTGGACATGCATGCCCGTGTAAATGATGTCATAGACGGTCCAAAAGGAAGTAAGCAAACTTTAGAGGCACCTAACACCTTCCCCGTAACCTATTTACACTATAGTCATTCCCATAACCCCAGAAGCTACCAACAACGGCCCATTCGAGGATGTTGGACGCACGCCTGGAAGACCTTGACTTCCTTTTCTCCAGTTTTCTGCCAAAGTGCGAGGTCCTTGATGTGCGTTCCCAGCTCCTCCTTGCGTCCGGATCGACAGAGAAACAAAACAAAACAAATAATATGATAACTTCCTGCCAAAAGGAGAACCACCCCTGATTAGCGCGGTCCGGACGAATCAGAAGCTAACATTAATGGAACATTTCTTGACCACTAGATATTGGAGCTTGTCCCCCGACTGAGGCAATGGCCCATGATCTCGAAGCGATGGAAAACACCGATTCCTGTGAAACGGTCACGCACCACCAGTACGCGGGAAGCTGGCGTTCAAGTTGGAAGCCAAGTAAGACACGGGTACATGGGCTAAGCCGAACTGGGTTGAATCTCAAACAATACTGTGGATGGACGAATTCCTGCACCACGTAGGCAAGCCATGAACGATGATTCCCCTGTAAATACCAGTAAACAATGGTTTCAACCATGGCTTTCCAAGCGGTGCGAAATGGCTGTGGCTCAAAAACATGTACCAAAATGGCAGCTTGGTAATTAAATGGAACCAAAGCCTAAAACCAGCGGTTTGCCCTAGCTCTTTAACTTTGAGCCACGACCAAATGGGTGTGGGTCAAAATTAAAAAAAAAAAACACCAGGAAATGGACCGCAGGTTGTAGTCCAAGTTTCCATTTACCAGGGTTCCATGTTGACACATGTTTGACCCACAGCCAAATGGATTTCGTCAGTAACCCTCTGGGAATGTAACCCCCCGTCTCTCCTCTGCCAAACGCCGGAATTCGAGTATCCGCATGCCAGGCGCCGCCTGCAAGTCTCTCGGCTGGAGTTGTGCACTGGCCAGGGGGGCTCAATGGGGTTGTCTCCAAGAAACCACCGAAACATGTTCTTGTTTGTTTGGGGGGTTCTACCACTCAAAATGGGCACCTGAACGAAGACAAGGCCAACTTGGCGCAAGGCGTCTCTCCCTCGCTCTCAAACCCCGCCGCCCGTCGCCTCAAACTGAGTTTTGGGTGTTCCATCAAAAGGTCTGAACCAAAGAAAAAACACATTTCAAGTTTTCTGGCTGTTTTTGGGGGGGCAATAAACATTACGCGCAAGTGCTCGTTTGACGTTGCTTGTGATTTTCCCCGATTCCCGCGCCATAGCCCCCGCCTCAATGGACGCACACTGCCCGCTGAGCAGCGCCACATCCACCCGCATGGCGCGGCCCGACATCTCTACTCTTGGTATAGCGACAAACTTTCCTTTTTTTTTGGCAGACCTCCAGGAAAAAGGAAGAGAACCAAAAAAAAACTGAACAAACCAAAAAACATGCCAAGAACAGTGATCCCAAGATTCAGGAGGTTTCATCTGGAAATGCGCAAGGAAATGTGTACTTACAGTACTCGTTTGGGGCTGGTTTGCTAGGGGTGGATCCAACAAATATGAAATGAGACCGACCGGAACCCACCAACAAGTTTGTTGGTAATCTCTGGGCATTTTGGCTGAGTGGACTGGCGAGAAACGGTCTACTTGAACCCTGAAACAACCAAGAACTAAATCACACCAGAATTTTGGCCCATGTCTAAGAGTATTTTGAGGGTGCTTTAGCAAACGACCCGTGGAGTACAAAATCAACCAGAATACAGGGTCTGTGTTGCTTTGCTTCTTGATTTGTTGTTTGCTACACATCCCGATTGTAGCTTCCTGTTGGAACACTGAACATATGTTGGTGTTCCTTTGAGGTTACGCTTTTCACCCTTGGCTTTAAAGAACAAAAGAAAATCACATGTGTTACGGTCGCCCTGTTGTGACACATTTACCCGCAAGGGCTATCTAGCACCCAGCCAGTGAGCCAATGGCTGAAATAACTTCAGATGGCAAAGGCTCCGGCGGTGATCACCTTTTGGATACTAGGTCCTCCAGTAGAGAGGTTAGAATAAGGGGAACCCTTTTCTTCTGTAGTCCATTTTAGTAGGGGAACCCTCCCCCAAAAAAGGGTAGAAGGGCACTACTGGGGGACCTAGTAAAACACTGGGACACCTTCCTGCGACCTGTTTGACCCAGTCAAATTCAACTGACGGTTAGCATGCTGGCAGTCCAAAAGAGGAAACCGCTCAGCCTCGGAGCTTGACCCTCTTGCTTGGATGCTGTTGACCCATCTGCAAAAAACACTTAAATGCGCAGGTTGACCAAAAGTTAAAGCCCAAAGATCCAAGCAAAAAGGCACAAAGCTTACTTCAGGGTTCATACTACCACAACAATTGGCAAGTGTTAGCTTTCAAGTTGACCACTGTTGACCCCTGAATAGCCCCCCTACTGGGACTCTGGAAGAATCAAGGAGTCACCTGCAAAGAGCCCCCCTCAACATGTGGGTTCAGCAAAAACACTGGGAAGCTAAAAGGGCAGCGGTCAATACGCCTGTGGGAGCAACCAAGGCCACTCTTGTTGTGTAACCGAGACAGACTGGGATTGACATCTTTGACTCATCCCGAAGGTCCTCCTAATCCCGTGCCTTTCCAAAATGGACCATAGGGCAACTAGATACGAGTCTGTCTTTTTTGAGGGTTCCCTTTATGGGGTTGGGTTAAAGGAAAACTAAAAGGATAACAACCCATTTTCCGGGGGTCCAACCTCAAAAAGACGAGCCGCCCATATCTTATGGTTCCCCATTTGGTTTTCGGTTGACCAAACCATTGAGATCTCCACCCTCCACTGGGTAGAACCTTGCAACCGCGCGGTTCCGAAACCACCCTGGAGATACCGAAAGAAATACAAACCTATTCCCCGCAGCAGCCCACCACTGGACAGTAATCAGGATTTGGACATGGGAAAAAGCAGTTGTCGGGGAGTGCTTGGCATGACTACTTTGTCAGGTTCACAGAAAAGTGGCCAACGCGAAAAGAACGTGTTACACAACCTTGTACTCACTTTGCGGAGAAATCTCTAGGGATAGTTTGGTTCTTACACCTCACTTGGGTACGAGGATCAATCGCTTTCACTTGCGGTTTGAATACCTCCATTTTTAACATCATACCCTAAATCGAGCGTACTTGGAGCAGAACATACCTTCTCAGAAAGTGTTTCGGCCACCAAACATGGGTTTGTGTCAAACCAGAACTCCCCCCTCCATTTTTGCGGGGTGGTGCCCTTTTGCCTTCCCTTTTGGACGACAGCAAGGCTACCCTCAAAGACGCACCACGACGCACCGCGACTCACCGGCTCTGGGCTGCCGCGCGGGTGCCGGGAGCTTGGCAGAGAGCGAAGACTTCAGGGACTGCAGCGTCTTAGCCTGGAGATGAAAGATAAAAAGCGTGTCACTCCCTGTGCTTCCAATTTGTTGTGAAACACATATCCAGTTGTTCTACAAACTCGTATATTGATTTACCCTTTTAAAAGTCGATTAGTTGGCAAAAGTTAAAGTCCTAACATCCAAGCAAAATGCACCAAGGAAATGTTCTTCAGTTCTACAGACTCGTATATTGATTTACTCTCCTTCCAAGAATCATGTGAAGCTGCCAAGGGTTTGGTAGAGTACCTTGGGGGAAGCCCTCCTATGATTGAAACAGGGTGCAGGTACTGTAGACCAAGGGAACCGCCAAGGAGTGTGGCTGATGCTTGGAGCCGGCAGTGATTTGAGGCAAGTCGCTAAGAAGAAGCCTAGGTGACCAGTCGTATCCGGAAGCACTAGGTGTACCAAACATGGCCGTTGCAAAACCACCAGACAGTGGACTCACATTGCATAACTCCGTTTCTTCAGCGCTTCAAGAACCATCTCCGCCCACTTCGAATGAAGCTAAACATCGAAGTCCAACTACTACATGCAGCAGAGCACGGGTGGTTGACCCGAAGTGGGACCCTCTCTACGCGATGATCTGGTTGTATGAATTTTCGAAGGTACCATGTCTTTATTTATTTATTTATTTCTTCGGGGAATCAAACGCGACGAAGCCATTGTTGGGGCCCCCTTCATTTTACACCCACCTGGACCCTCCAGCCACCTATAAAAAAGAGCAATCACCCCTAATTTTGGGGCACTCGCATGTTTGAGGATATTTTGCGGGTCCAGGCACACGTTGCGGCCGGGGCCACCCTGTCGATCCCCCGAGCTTCCGCACGAGTGCGCTGGAGATCCCTCGCTTGTTGGCCGCCAAAATCAGCTCGTTGCCTCGATCCAATCGATCGGCCAAACCCAGGGTTTCAGTTGGTCCATTAGGATGTTCTTGGAGTTGGTGCCCCGTTCAGGCTTGGTTTCAAGGAAACGTCAAAGGGTCAAAAGTAGTGGAACCCCGCAAATAGCGACCAAAACGCGGCCAGGTCTACTCCCTTCTACTAGTACCAAATCGCCCGCTTAAAATACGAGCTTTGCAATGTGCCAAAGCCAAGTTTCATCTTGGCCTAGACTTCGCCCGAAAAAGTTGCATGTCTTGCATGTCAAAACAAATCGGACAATGCAGAAACGCAGAAGGGAACCAAATAATCAGACCATTGTGTTCACATTGCTTCCCGAACCAAACAGTCTGCTGTCCTCTTGACCTTCTGTCTCACTTGATGCACCTTGGTCTTTGAGGCGGGTGAGCCAATTGATTTTGCTGCGAACCCACCTCTTTGTCTCCTTCTTCTGCCACTCTTGTCGATGCCCAATGTGCGCACGGGCCACGCGCAAATTAGAAAGTTGCCTGAAAGCTACACCCTCGGACTTGGTAGTGAGTTGGCCAGCGCAAGCTCTTTTGGGCTCGGACTAATATCCTGACTTGTATTGTAACTCAAGAGCCCGTCATCACAACATCTCCATCAACTTGCTGTCCTTGGTGCGCACACCGTCAAAAACATGCTTGGTCGCACCCTGAAGACAGTATTGATAGTATTGCGCCTGGGAAATGAGTGTGCTCTTATATCGAGCGCTGTGGTCTCTTAGCTCCCCATTCAAGAATAACTAGTTACATGGGCCTAGGAAAGCACCTCGTAGTTGAGCTCGTTTACCCCCCAGCTGACCAACGACGCGTTGGACTCTCTCGTTTCCTTAATTAGAGGAATCAGAAAAAAAGGGTGGCGGGCATCCCGTTCTGGTTTCAGCTCGGGATAGACACGGGAACTTTGAGATACCCTGAGGGCGCGTATCTTGAAATGAGGATCAAAGACCAAGTGACCCTCTGGGTTCCTGGGCTGCTCGAAGGGTTTTTATCGAAGGGACATGAAAGGGACCATCTTTAAAAACAAGGACTGGAAACCACATGTTCGGAAAAATCACCAAACATTTGCGCGCCATTCCCTAATTTGACACTGTGGTGGTGCCATTAATACCACGAGGCGCCAGAATCACGTGTTTCCCCAAGCCAGGTGGGATTTGTTGCAACCCGAGAAGAATCGAAGAGCACTCTAAAGCGGGCTTCAGATGGGAAAGTACTCTCGGGCTAGTTGGGTTATAGCCCCCTTTGTGTAAGACCGCCCCAAGGGGACAATGGAAGTGTTCGGCCTGCCCCCTTCTCCTTCTCCCCGAACCAACAGCAGACTACCAACACTTTCCAACCTTTAGTATGGCAGCAAACAACAGTTTGCACTTTGCCAGCCGCCACTAATGGGCAGGACCCCAAACAAACAAACAATAAACCTGGGCTGTTTCAAATGGAGTGGTTGCCATCCTAACAATCCCTATTGTACAACCACTACAAAGAGCACCTTGAATCCTTTCGTACCCCGAAGTAAGGATCTTGATTGCCTTTGAACAGCCCAGCTTCAGACAGACACGCGCCAGCGAAGGCCCTTCCGGGCGCGGCGCAGCCACTGAGAACTTCGCGCCAGAACCTCGAGGAACGACAAAACAACATGAGCCATCCACCAACAGGGGGGGGAGGGGGTACAAATCAGACAGGCGGGGGGTCAAACTGAAGGAATGGGGGGTCAAAAAAAAAGTGGGGGAGTTCAAAAAAAAGGAGCCCAACAACCCACCACCCAAAAGGGAAAACTGGGCACACGGTCTTTGGCTGGTTTGGTGGCGGAAACTATATACAGTAAGATCTTGGATGACATGTAGGCAAATCTCAGGGCCCATGAGCAAAAGGCACCAGGGTATCAGTTGTGGGTGGGTCCATATTGGTGCGTGCTTTGGAAGGGTATATTTTTCTGGTGGGATTCAATGGAAGACAAAAGGAAACTAATTCTTTGGGGGTCCGCCTATTGTGACAGCATGCACAGAACAGCTTTTAGTGGAAACACTGTCG